AAATATAATTTATATATCTAAATATAATATTTATTTATATATATATAATTAATTTAAAAATTTGATTATACAATAAATATTTAACCTATATATTACATAGAGTAAAATATTAGTTAAAAAATAAAGTAAGAATAAGAATAAATAAGAAAGTAAGATCTTTTCAACTTAATTTTCTTAACATACAATTATCTTTCATATGTTACCATTTATCATATTAAATGATATGTTATCTAGCATGTAGTAATTAAATATAAAAATAAAATATATATTTCATTTAAAATTAAATATATCTTTCTACATCATTTTTAAATTTACTTCAATGATTTACTAACTTTTTTTCTTTTTGAATATATCATTTTTATAATTTTAAATATTTTTTAATCTCTGATCTTTTTAAATACTTTTTTATTTTTTATTTCAATATTTTTAAAAATATCACTAAATTATATATTATGAATTCAAAGTATAATTTATAATTTTAGAATGAGTTATTATTTATTATAAATTTTAATTATAAAAGAAAAATAGTTTCCTATATATTGAAAAGTTTAAATCTCCAAGAATCAATAATGCAGTGACATTCTTAATTGGTAGGACTTAGGAGATGATTGAGAAAGTGATGCAATTGGTTGAAAAGAAAAAACATGAATTAATTATTAATAAAATAATGATGTAGGCGATATAATAAAGGATAAAGATTCGGAAAGTGAAGTAAGTAGTAAAAAGTAGTAGTTGTTGATAGCGTAGAAATTAAAAAGGAAACGTAATTGCACTTCCCCACCACAGCCAAGAAGAAGGATCCGCCGTACAGTGTGTCAGGTAGCCACACCGATCATCCCTTATTTCCAATTTTACCCTCACTCTGTTGCGGTGGCGCCACATCACTGGGCCCTCACCATAACAACCCTGAGCCGCCCCGCACTCTTTAAAACCGCGACGTTCATATTTTTAATCGCTCCCTTCTCCTTCCTCTTCCGTCGCCCTCCCTCCAATACCGCCTCCCCTTCTAAACCTCTCATTAGAGACAGACACACATAATTAAAACCAAACCTACAAGCAATAAACCTTTTCCCTCTTCTTACAAAGGCCAAAATCAAAAGTTCCTTTTCGCGGCATCGTTTGTTTCTGTCTGGTCGGAATCGGATTCCTCAGCGCAGTGTCGGGAAAAAAAAAAAAAAAAAAAAAAAAAAAAAAGGTATTTTGAGGCGGGAGTGGGATACCCAATTGGCGGGTTGATGAAATGCGCGAGGTGGGTGGTGTTGAATTGAGTTGAATTGGGGCATGTGATTGGAAGGGTGAGGGATGGCTCGGGATGGGAGCGTCGTCCCTGCGGACCCGCAGGGAATGGCGGTTGTGAAGAAGAAGACACAGTCTTCGAGGAGTTGGATTCTGTTTGATGGCACGGGCCAAGGCTCGTTGCTGGACGTGGATAAATATGCCATCATGCATCGCGTTCAGATTCACGCTCGTGATCTCAGAATCCTTGATCCCTTGCTCTCTTACCCCTCCACCATTCTTGGTCGCGAGAAGGCCATTGTTCTTAACTTGGAGGTCCCCACTATACTTCACTTTTCCTCACCATTTTTTGTTTTCTGCTTTGTTTTTTTAACACTTTTTTAATTCTGGGTTTCAGCATATCAAGGCAATTATCACCGCCGAAGAGGTTAGTTTATTATTGATGGTCAATGTAGTTCTTTTTTTTTTTGAACGTGTGTGCGGTGACTAGAAACGGGTGGGAAATCAGATGTATCATCGTCAACGTTCTAGGTTTAAAACTGTTTTTATCATTGTATTTCTTATGGATAAAAAAAAATTATTTTAGGCTACTACTCAGAATTGAAAAGCTTAGAATGATTGAGAAATGAGGATTGGGGGAATGATGGATGGGACATTCTCTTAGCATTCGGCTAAATTTTGTTGTTGTTGTTGTTATTATTGTCAAGTTAATCGAATAAAACGGGTAGGAAGACAGTAAACTATATGTTGGCTTGTTCTGACTATTATAATATTGTGCCTGTCAACATAATGTGGCTCAGAAACTTAATCCTCTTTTACCAGAATATACCTTGATGATTGCTGACATTAGTTATGATGCCTACTTGCAAAGCACAGTCTTTCGTGTAGCTAGCATATTGTAGAGTCAGCCTCAATAAGTTCATTAAGTATGCTCTCTGACGTGGTTTCCATATTTGTGTATCCAACCTTCGGTCCTTTGTTGGACGCATAATTGTTTCTAGAGATTGAGACGACTTTGCTTCCACATCCTGATTGTAACTGAATTGTGGAATAGGTATTGCTGAGAGATCCAACAGATGAAAATGTGATCCCAGTTGTTGAGGAACTGCAAAGGCGGTTGCCTCGATTAAGTGCTAATAATCAACAGCAAGGAGATGGTAAAGAGTATCTTGGTGGCCAAAATGATGCTGAAGCAGCTGAAGAAGATGGTACGTTAGATTAAAGATGAACCATGAGTACTGAACAAACTTATTATTGCATCTGTTCCTCTTAAATTCTGCCTTTGTATTTAAATCATGTCCTACCTTGTTATCTGAGTGATTTAAATTGTGCAACGCAGAGTCACCCTTTGAATTCCGAGCCCTGGAGGTAGCTTTAGAAGCCATTTGCAGTTTTCTTGCTGCACGTACAACAGAATTGGAGATGGCTGCTTATCCTGCATTGGATGAACTTACCTCCAAGGTACACGTATTGTTGAATTATTTCTCTTCGTTTTGTTTAATCTGAGATCCCCTGGCCCATACCCTTTCCTCGGGTATAGAATAAGCTAACAAATAAAAAGCTTTTCGAAAGTGGCTGAGGGAAAATTCCTTACCTTCATCTCAATATATTATCCTTTTGATTTCTTAAACTTATCATCACTGAGGTGAACATTTTAATTACGCTTGCTTTCTTCAAGAAGGGTTTTGTTGGCAGGCATGAAATGTGGATGCTCTAGTTCTCGTTCTTCCTTTTATTTATTAAATTTTTGGTTCAGTCATGAACTTTAGAATTATTGTACTCTGTAGATCAGTAGTCGTAATTTGGACAGAGTTCGTAAACTGAAGAGTGCAATGACAAGGCTGACTGCTAGGGTTCAAAAGGTAAGTGAAGTTTTCGTATGCTAGTGAACAATTTGCACGTGGAAAAAGCCTATTTTCTTTTAATGTATTCTGCACCCTCTCTGTCTCTCAATGCTGTTGATATTTTGCACATCTTTACACTCGGAGGGTTTTTTCATTTTTGATGATGCATAAATGCATGAGAAATTCATTATTAAAAATATGCCTTCATAATTCATATAGTTTGCTAGAGTTTGAGAATTTGGAAGATGTATTTTCAAGATCGAAATATTCATTTTCCACTACCTTATATTGGATTATTTCTATGAATCCTTTGTACTGTTATTCTTTGGAGGTATTTCTAGCATTCATGCTTTTACTCAGTTTTTTGTTGACAGATATGCAATGGTATCAAAGTTTTTTTATATAAAAAAATGGATTCCTCTTCTCTGTAGCTAGGTCTTGAACATTTACACTGTTGAATAACTTTTTTACTGAATCATTGCATACTATATGAAGGCATGTTTTTAATAATTCATTCATTGAATCATGTTATTTTATCTAGATGATCTTGCATATCAAAATTTAGATAAATCAAGCAATAAGAAAGAAAAATAAAGAAAGCAAGCAATCAATAAGCAGTAAAACTGTGAATTTCATATCTAGTTGTTAAACTGAAAGTGAATTTTATGAACTTGATCTACCTTATAAGAGCCTTTATTTCAACTGTTGGATTGCTGAATTTTGGCGTCTGAAAGTGCATCAAGCAAGACTCACTCTGGTGTTAGTGAGTCCCTGCTTTTTTATAAATGACATATGAGCATTCTCTTTATTGTAATTATTTTATTTTTCTTCTTATTGAATTAGTTTAATGTGACTGTAAACTGCCTTGATCAGTTTTAAGTAGAAAACAACACATATCCCATTTTCCTCTCCCATCACCAGTTCATGTTATCTGTTACAGGTCAGAGACGAGCTTGAACAATTGCTGGATGATGATGATGATATGGCTGACCTATACCTCTCAAGAAAGGCAGGTTCATCATCACCAGTTAGTGGATCAGGTGCTGCAAATTGGTTTGCTGCTTCCCCAACCATAGGATCAAAGATATCTAGAGCAAGTAGAGCAAGTGTGGCAACAGCTCGTTTCGATGAAAATGATGTGGAAGAGCTTGAAATGTTACTTGAGGTTATAAACATTATTTGCTTTAAAAAGTAGTAGGAAAGGGTCTTCCATTTTTTTTTTATTGAAACTAAATTCTTTTTTGTTACAAATGGTGTTTGTTTATTTTGCAGGCTTATTTCAGTGAAATTGATCACACATTGAACAAATTAACCACAGTAAGTATCATCTCTGTGTGCACGTACGGAGCTGTAAATCTTAATTTTCGTTTATGGCAGATACATGCCAGAGATACAGTATTTTGGAAGATTGTTTAGTTGTACATATGGATAGACGTTTTGTTTTATCATTAATTTAGAACCTATGATCTGTTTACTAATCTAATTATTAGACAGTGAAATTAAGGCCTAACCTTTTTGGTAGACAATTTTAGTTTCAGACTAGTAAGCATGTTAAAGTTTGACCAAATTGATACTCTGAATGCTTACACTGTGCTTACTGTATTAATATCTGAAATTAATGGTGAACAGAACTAAGGGGATATGCATGTTCCTCTCTTCCTTGTGGATCAAATATACCATACTTGGATCTTCGCTGTAATTAAGTATTATTGTGATAATGGTGATTCTTTCTCTAATTCATTCTGTCATGATCCCTGGATTTATTCGTGGTGGGATGTATTAAGAGACTACATCCCATAGATTAGGCTTTTCTAGAAAGGGTCTGAAAACTAGTGTACTCTTTGATGTTTAATTGGCCTCTTAAAAGTCTCTGTTATTTACTCTTGTATAGGTTTACTTGAACTCTAAATTTGCTGTTCTGGATAGTTTTAGCTAATTACTTTTCTTCTCTTTTTTTCATTTAAAGCTGCGAGAGTACATTGATGATACTGAAGATTATATTAATATTCAAGTAAGTAGCTAACAATTTACTGATCATATTTATGGGTATCTGCTGAATGACACAAAATTGAAATGAATTGTTTTCTTTTTGCAGCTTGACAACCATCGTAATCAGCTGATTCAGGTAACTTTCATGTTTCTGCACCATGCATGGCATCTATTAGTATTTTGTAATGTATTTTAGAGTAAATCACCATTTTAGTCAAGTGCATAGCGTTGCAATATTTGAAACAAAAAATTTAAATTAGTCCTTGAAAATGCAATTTGTAAATCATATTAGTTCATAATTCACAAAAATGTATGACTAAAATAATAATATCAACATATATTTAAGGACCAAACGACGCTAGGTCATTAAGTTTAGGAACTTGGATGAAATTTCAGACTAATTTGAACTTTTCCTACCATTGGCAACTAATGTGAAAATGCTATACACTTTCAAGGACTAAAATGGTAGTTTACCAAATATTTATATATTTTGAGTTTGCTAAAATGTCTTCAACTGTTGTGCAGTTAGAGCTCTTTCTTAGCTCTGGAACTGTTTGTCTTTCTTTCTACTCTTTGGTAGCTGCTATATTTGGCATGAATATCCCATATACTTGGAACCAGAACCATGGTTTCATGTTCAAATGGGTAAGCAAACTATTTGTGTTTATGCCTGTGCAGATATTATATATGTGTTTTGGACTAGATATTCTGAATAAAGAATAAAATATATGATGTTTTGTTGCAGGTAGTTATTGTCTCAGGAGTATTTTCTGCTTTGATGTTTGTCATGATTACAGCCTATGCTCGTAAAAAGGGGTTAGTTGGATCATGAAAAGCAACGGGGGTGCTGAGAATGAACTCTTGGACCCTACATATAATAGTCTAATGAATTATGTTGTGAAGCTGGTTCAACATGTCGCTGAGTTATTTAAAGGATCTAGTTCCTAAGTTGATATACATTGAGAGGGTGTAAGCCCTTGGATCCTGCCTGCTATTTGCTCACCCATTTTGTTCTCTGGATTCAGTCATTATTACGACAGTAAATACAGTCTACTCATTCAAACTTGATTATTCATTTTGAATAATTTCAAGGCCTTGATATGTAATTAAATTATAAATCAAGTTGAATATGCTAATCCTTACGCGCTTTTTCTCTCCATCTAATAGATACTATTCTGCTTCTCTAAACCATTTCATTAATTAGATGTGGTTCCTGAAAAATGCTAGTAAAACATTCTTTAATATATTTTTTCTAACTCATTCTTTATTTTTAGTTGAAATTTGTTCGAAATTATTGCAAGTTTCATCCGTATTTAATTAACTTTATTTATGATTTTGTCTGTAATAAATTTCAATCAATAAAAGTGCCTGTTATTCTCTTGTGATCTGATTAACTGTTCTTCTTACACTTCCTTTGTATCTCCAATTATAGTTGGATTTAGAACACACCTTAGACTAGTGTCAAGTTCAGATTGGATACAGTTGGAAGTGAAGATGAACAACTGGTTCTTGCTAATTTATTTTTCATCAAATGTTTTCTGGATTCGAACGCCTAGGTTCAAGTGTTCAATAAATAAAAAATAAAAAATAAAAAAAAAAAAGGTGTCAAGGCAAGAATAAATCTAATAATCTTTAACACTATTCACATAATATACATAATTTAATTATTTTTTATTAATAAAAATATTATATCGGCGGTAATGAAAATCACACTTAAATTGTCATGCTCCTATCTCAATTCTGATTATAGTGATTCTAATTCTATTATGTAAAAGGCTTATAATTTCAATTATTTGTTTTTACATTTAAAAGACTAGCTTTGTTTATTAATAATTTTGTTGCATAAGTATATGTGGTGAGAAAAAGAAAAAGTAATCTTCTGAACTTATCTTGTTAGCTGTAACCATCATTTCATTGGCTTATGTATGAATTATTTTCATCCTCATAGGATTTATCCGGAAGAAATAATTCAAATATATTTAGTCTATTTAATATGGATATTATACGATTTAGGCTCTCAAGTATCAATGGTGAGATTTAGAGATTCTGTTAAAAAATTAATGTAATTCTTTTTTATATGATACTACAAATGACATGCCAAATGATGTCACATTGACATGATAACATCACACTAATACGTTAAATGTTTGTAGATAAATAACGTGACATTATAATGTCGTATGTTAAAATAGAAGAATTTTTTTCAAAATAATTAAAAATAGGATTAGAACTTTTTATCCTTACCTCCACCAACATTTAACCACTAAATTAATTTAAAAAAATTAACATATAAATGAGAAAAAGAATGTATACATTTTTAATGGAAAAAAAGTTACACATATATTCACTATTATTAATTTTTTTTCTTCTAAATACTATATATTATTAGTATTAATAATATATTGGTAAACTAATACTACTAATATTATTAATATTAATTTTTAATAATTAATCCTTATATATAAAATATGAATAACTATCTTGTGTAAGATATTTTTAAAGATTTTTCTTCGATGAATGAATTTTTAGAAATTTTTTAATTTTTATATATAATTTAGTGTTATTTATTATAATTATTTATTAATTAAATTTAATATTTTAGAATAAATTATTAATAAATAAAAATAATCTTATGCTACAATATAAAATATTATTATCACTCTTTATTAAAATTTAAGGACATGTTTAGTAAGATATTTGAGAAGCTTATAAAATTTTTTTAACCAACTTATGAATTAGTTTAATCAAAATAAACTTATTTAGTATGAGAGCTTATTTCTTTACTGACTACCTTTCAAATACTATGCTCTTATAGTACTCAGTTAGGAAATTAAGTTCCCAACCTTGTATCTTACTTGGTTGGTCGCTTTATACACATATGTTTCAACTTTATCCATATACAAATATCGCATAAAACTTAGAAGATAACGACAACTACCATGCAAAAACTAGCTTACTTATTGAAGGGTTTCAACTGGACTCTTGAAACATCACAACTTATATCTACATAATGTATTATTTTAATTTCTAAAACATCGTTTACTCCTCTGTAGTTTTTTTGTATCTCAACAAAGACATGTATATACACCACATGTCTACAACATATCAACAAATATTCAACTATAACAACATACAACTTCATAACTTAATCATCTATCAGCTTACATATTAACAACATAAATATCATCATATAGTATATCAACTTGAAACAAACGAACTATCATCATATTATCTTCATCATACAACTTAATCATCATCTTTTAATAATAACACAACCTAAATAACACATCAAAATCATTCAACTCACACCCGGAGCCATCCCTTGGATACTTAGTGCCATTAAGGTAAAGGGCTTACTGTTTCGTCCACATTCGGTGCCAAACTACCCGCACCCGACATGGCTGAGACAAAGAACCTCCCACTCTCTCACACCTAACATCATAAAACCCATGCATAACCCCAATTAAGCAGAAGGTCTCTGTCCGACTCATATCCGATGCCACTCAACTAGTACCTAGCATGGATTTAGGCAGAGACGAGTCTCTCTCCTTACACCCGATGCCACCAATCCTACGCCTAACATGAGCAAGACAAACCCCTTTGGTTGAAGCCACGCCCAATGTGACACCTGTTCTTGCATTTGGCAGAAACTCGATTTGCTCCAAAATCACCTGAAAAATAGTACACACCAACATGCAACATGGTACACAACATATATACAATTTGTAGAGCTCAAAAACAACTCCAAAAGCAACAGGCAACCAAAAATATACAAAAAAAAAAAATCAATTACTCTTCATAAACAACATTTCCAAGAAAAACTCAACTTCATCAATTTTATCTCATGATTTCAACCAACAACAACTAGAGATAAGTGAATCTAGATGACAAAAATTATCATCCAATAATAATGATTCTAAAATAAGTTTCCATTACCTCTTGTCGATTCGAATCGAGACAAGGAGAAAAGAAAGAACGAAAGACGCATAACTTTGATTTAAGATTCTTGGCTCCTTAAGCATCAAATCACAACAATTTACTTCAAACAGTTGTAGGAGGAGATGGAGATGAATTTGGGGAATGAGGGATTTTGAAAAGAATTTTCAAATTTTCAAAGAATCTATCTTTAACTTCTCTTTAACCGTCCTTAAAACATAAATTTACAAGATTCATGTCTTAAAGAAAAATCTTATTTATATCCTTATCTCACTAACTCAACTAACTCTAACTACAATTGATTTAGAAATAATTTAACTCTAACCCAACTATCTTAGAGGCTAACTTAACTGCTAAGGTCCCTTTGACCACTAAAATTCTCAATAGCAACTAACAACAAAACGACACAAATCATACAATTAATTAAACATCACAAGATTAACAATATTACAATTTCTAAATTGTATTTCAATAATTTTTTACAAAAAATTATTAATAATTAAAAATAACTTTTTTTATCAAAATATATTAATTATCATGAATTTAAAATATAATTTATATATTTAAAAAATATTTATTCATTATAAATTTTAATTACAGTATATAAATTTAAAAAATTATATATTATAAATTCAATTATTTAAAAATAAATATTTATCTTATACATTACACGTATTAAAAAGATAATGCAAATAAATTTTTTAAAAATTAATGAAGATAACTTTCACCTTTTTCATTAAAATGTATGATTTTTAACTTTATGTTTTTAAAATGAACTAATGAACTAAATATATGGCAAAATTCATATATTATGATTTGTCCTATTTTAGCATATTTACCAAATGCTACTAAAAGTATTGTGTGTACATTTCCTGCTATATGTTATGTAAGATGTATGTGATACGTCCCTTAATATGATTAATTTTACGTTTAAAAAGTGAATTTACAAATTTAGATTTCCTCTTGTTTCTATCATATGATTTCGGTGCAGGCTAGCCTGGG